AAAAAAAAAAAAAAAAAAAAAAAAAAAAAAAAAAAAAAAAAAACACCAGAGTAGATAACTGTTCATTTCGATCCCTGTTGGAAAGTTTATCGAGGCAAAATTATCAACTAACGAACTCGTGACCACCTTTTCGTTCTGTGTGCCGATTTCTTTCGTTGTGTGTCCGATAATTTCATTTCGGCCGATGTTATGAAAATCAAACGAACTACTTCTGAAGTCTGTCTTGTGAATGTGAATTCGCGGTTAGCGAGAAGCGGATCGATACTGGGAAGCTTCGAAAAGAAACTGTACCTTCGCAGCATCTCGTTCTCGACGTCAACGATAACTTGACCGCTTCCAGGGAAATGAGAGTGCGGCGGAGGCGGTTGTTTGAGCTCAGAGAAACCTCGTGGTCCGCACTGTTGATTCAACATTTGTTGCTGCTGAAGACTCTTCACTTCCAGCCGTGTTTTGTCCCTTTGATAGTACACCCCCGCGAAAATCAGCACGTTCAAAATCAACAAGCTACATCCGATCGCGATTGTCACGCTCAATGCTGTCGAGTACGCGGCGTACCTATAAATAAAGAAATACAAATTCACTTCTGTACAATTCGATTAGATCTCGTCGCATTTAAGGCTCCAATAATCTTTTCTTTGACAAACAAAATAATCTCGTCATCTCTGTTATCTTTGGAGATGTGAACAAATTTTGTTAATAAAAGTGATTTTAGTATAGAGGGCGCTATAATATGACAGTAATGATTTTTTTTTTGTAGGGGGAGGAGTTTCGAAGATTTTGAGATCATTCCCACCTTTTTTTTAAATTCATATATTACGTAACGTTTCTTGTCAACTATTAGTTCCCTGATTAAATATTATAAAAACAAAATCATGGAAATTAATTTTTAATTACTCGTTACACTTACTCAAAGTTACATTGTTCGTATTATATTATTATCGTGAGATTTTATGTTATATAACATTCTTTTTAATTAACGATTACCGACAAATAATGGAATTCATTTCACAATAAAAAAAAATGCAGATACAGAGGTTCTTTTAATTTTGGCCATGAATTATCGCTTCCAAGGCCACTGCGCAACGAAATACCAAAAGAAAACGAATCGGAAGGTATTTGCCAACAAAGGCAGTTGTTTTGCATAATATTCCATAAAAGTAAGAGAATCGTCACATGCGCTTTTATACTTCGGCAATTCTGGCTATACCATAGGCAACGTTTCAATGTGATACAAAGGCCAAGGAGTAGCGTAACGAGGTTCTTTATTAATGTTTTCATTACGTCGACCGAAATTGCTTATTACGTACCCAGCTGCATCCAAGCTTGCCAGAGTGTCTGTACTGGCGTTATGAACGTTCTGCAAATTCGTGCTCTGAATGTAGCTAACACACGTGGCGGCATTATAGTCCGTGGTGGTCGGTGGCTCGGTGGTGATGTTCTTCTTTTTGAATTCCTCGCTAATCCTGCTCAGGGGATCCGGTCTCACCGATCCATCGTACAGACTGGGGTCCGAGTGTCCACGAAATAGATTGTGCCTGGAATCCACGTCCTCCATTCCAGCTCGATGGAGTTCTGGGACGAGACGCAGCCAAACAGATAGTTGATGAGCTCTGTAATGATTCTTCATCTTTGGCCTCATGCCTGGAAAAAGATAAGAGAGGAATTTTAGAATTTATGTGGCCTTCGCTGCGCTAAATAATTCTTGACAAAGATTTTTGTCGTATCTTCGAAAACAACTAGAGATATTCAAGGTATATACTATGTTTACACTTGTGGCCAAAAATTTGGATATACATTTTGTATGTGAAATATATACTTTTAGTGTCAATAGTGTCAACAGATTTGTCTAGCATATTTTAGTACATTGTGTGTGGGAAATAAATAGAAATAAACGTTTGTCGTTAGAATTAATTGCCACATGAAATTTAACGAAACCAACTTTTTCTACCAAAGAAATCGACTGTTCTTTTATTATTTTTGTAGTTATTGAAAAATCTTTAGGATCTTTCTAGGATTAAGATATTATAGCTTTGCATTTAACGAGAAGTAGAATTTGGTTCTACAGTTGGAAATATATAAACGAACAGTCGAAAATATATAATACGATGGTCTTTTAAGTAGCCTGGAAAGACGTTCTTCCGTGCAGATACACCGTTAACGCGAAACGAGCATCGGTACGTTTTATAAAGCGGTGCTTTATTAAAAAAGTTTTAGAATTCGTCCCGTAGAAATCTTCATCGCGTTTGTTGTGTATTAAGATTCTGAGATACTTGACGCGTAATGAAGAATTTCGCGGTTTCGTCTGCGATCTGCGTTCCCCAGTTCTCGTTACAGCCAAAATTATCGGTTCGACGAGAAGCGACTTTTCAAGGAAGGATTTTCAGCTCGCAATCCCCGGTGAATGTCGGCTGAGCTGCGCGCAAGTTTCGTGAAAAATTCATTCGAATAAAGAGACATTTCAACCAGGCGTGTCAGAGTTGAAGAGTTCCTTTCTTTTCTCTCCCTTTCTCTCCCCTCGTCGGTAGAAATAAAGAACACTCGCTTAAAAACCTACTTCCCTTTTGTATAACTTAGCGTGCTGCCGTGATTTTGCTATATTACAGGGATCGAGTGAATTAATGAGAAAAGTTTCAAGATTTTAGGATTTTAAAATACAGCAGAGACCCTCATATTCGACCCTCTATTATCCGAATACTGTTTCGGAATATTCCGAATGTACAGTATCGTGCATAAATATTCCGACATTTCTAAATTATTGTCGCAATCTCTGCTCAATTTGCAAACGAATCATTCGGTCCGGAGAGGAATTTAGGAAGCCCTGGGTCTGGAATTTTTGTTCTGTAAATTTCTGTAAATTCTGTCACTACCGTCCTCGTCGAAATCTACATAAAATTTTCGAGCAAATAGCAAATTTCATCAAAACGAGTGTCAAACCACTTGTCTGCTTCAAATATATATAATAGAAAATTGATTCATTTTTTTCTTCGTTAGTCCAAGTTACACACTGACAAAGTGTGAACAGTGCAGATTTGCTCGTTAAGTGGAGAAGAGCAGAGTATAGACGGCGTGGAATCGCGTTTGGATTGAGTAAACAGCGTGTAATAGAATCAATCTAGCTTAGTTTAATTGAGTTTAGTCTCGAATATATATTAAGTTGAATATACGCATCTTGACGTTACACTCGGCCTTGATTAAAATCATCTGATCTTCAAACCCCGCAGAAGCAATCGCAAAACAATCAGTTTGCACGGTCGCGCTCCTCCACTCTTTAAATAATTTTACACGCGGAGAGAGTCGCGCCGAGATTTCGACGATTTCGTTGGAAATTCGCGAATTTTGCTTTTGATGGTTCGGATACGAGCGCGGTTGTACGGTTGTTGTCGCGTTTTTCGTTTCCCCGTGACGTGAGGAAAGACTGGAACGTTATTCGATCCTCCAATAACTGGATGCACGCTAGGTGTCACGGTCAAACGGGAACACGCGAAATCGGCCGGAAATTTGGAAATTGCTAGAAAGGTTGCAGATAGAGGCTGGTTGAAATTGCGACCGAGTTCCGGGAGGGGGAGGGGTGGTAACGTTAATTAGATTGGATTTTTTTTGCGGAAAGGACGATCCAAAGCAAGAGGGCGAGTAATTAAAGTGGAACACGACCGGCGAATTTGTCATTGCCGCGAACGAGAAAACGATCGGCGCGTGACAGCGCAGCGTGCACGAAATAATGGAATTAATGAAAATAATTCTTCGTTGTAACGAATGGATCGTTTGTTTCGAAAGTGACGTGCAACTTTCTTTTTTTTTTTTTTTTGAGAACATTGAGAGAATTAAAGATTTGTATAATACTTTGAGATATACAATTCGTTATATAATATAAAATTTGTCTCAATCAATTGAATTTTCGTATGGAACTGCATAGTCGATGCTTCAGTGTCTCAAGATTGATAGGTATAAGACTTCAAAATAAATGGTCCGTATTCTCGTTGATGTATATGCTATATTTTTATATATATATACGGACGAGGAAAATATTGAAAAAGAGAAGTGCGATAAAAGATTAATAAACAGTGGGGTAAATAACGGTAAATAACGTTACATTGTTAATGTAAAATAATTTTTACGTTAATGTTTACTCTCAAAATGGCTATTCTTTTTTAAAGAATTCGTATTCGCGAATTGTACGATGTATGGTAATAAATAAACAAAATTCTTTCCCATAAGAAAGGGATTCTTTATGAATTAATTTGTAACACCTGGACGTTTTTGCTTTTAATATTTATACATATTTTTACACGTGAAAATGAAAATAGAAAGTTTGGTATAAATGCTTGATATCCGGAATTATTCATGTTACAATATTCCCCGTGACGCGTTCAATTATCAAACCTTTCCACGTAGTAATGGAAAAAACATATTTGAATTCCGTCCTAATTAAACACAGAAAATAGATTATTAAAGCAAGCAAAATGGATTAAACGTAATTTAAAATTTATCCGCGTGCTAAGGCAGAATAATTCGCGTCTGCTCAATGAAAACAACACGATCAAACAAAAATTAATATGATTCCTTCGTTTTATTCGACGCTTGATCGAATTAACTCCAGCATTCACTGGCAGTTTCGTCGGTGTGCAATTTCATGTGTTTTTAATTGAGCGCGCCTCCGTACAGTTTAAATATTCATAGGAAATTGACAGTTCACGATTGATTTATATTACGAAGGAAGGAATGGGTAGTAACGAATCGCTATTATTTTGAAAAGTTTGGTTCGTAGTCTAAATTCATCTTAAGTTTGCTTAAGTTTTTGCTTAAACTAGACAAACAAATGTGATTTTGTGTGTTAAAAAATGATAGCGAAGGAAAAACAATTTGATCGAATTTAACATCATGAAAATAACCCTGCTACGATCGCCAAATTTTTATGTTTCAGTTTATCATTCTGTTCAAACAGAATATTTCATTCCGTTGTATCAGTAAATACATTTTAAAAATTTTATTGTGATCAGATATTTGATGTTGCTCATATACGTTACAACCCAATCGTAACAATTTCGTTTCGACATCTGGTACAAAACATATTTCTCGGTGCTTTGTGACACCGTTTGTCCTTAAAAATTTTTTATATTTCGAATACATGTAAAAATTCCTCTATTATTATTAATTTGTCTAAGTCACGAACGTACGTAGCTACACACACACACACACACACACACACACACATACACACACGTGCCAAGAGTTCACTTAGCACGCAGAAGCTGGAAACAGATACATCGTGAAAAATGATACATCGGGTGTGTGGTTGTTGCGTCGCGTCTTCCCGTGACATTCGATTTCCGGTATCGCACGCGTCCCACTGCTTGACACCGAGAAATTTCAGTACGATCCACTAGACGCGGCATGCGAAAAATGGATTTCTTTGAGCTTAATGTCGTGATCATATCTCGCGACACGTGGCACGCGAAATTTGCGTCTCTCCCGCGGAATATTGGGCGGATGGGAATATATGAAATTCGCGCGTCGTGTATCCTCTGTTCAGCAAAATCTGTTTTATAAAGAAAGGAAGGAAGGAAGGAAGGAAGAAAGTGTCGTTGAAGCATCAACGTCCAGCTACGTACGATAGAATTCGAGGAAAATTCGGTCGAGCGAGATTCATTGATGAATCGATTGATAATTAATCTTCTTTAGATTAGTCCTTGTTTTTTTCACCTGCACGCGACAATCGTGGCCGTTTGTGAAAATTGGGCTTCACTGTGATCTTTTCTTTTCTTTTTTTTTTTCTTTTTCGAATTGGCCGTTTCACCTGCTTTCACGAGAGCGTCGTCGCTTTCTTTTTTCGTTGGTTATCGCCCGATACAGTTGACTGTTCCCGAGTGATAACGACCGACCGGTCGTTTCATTCAAACCGTGCACCATCTGATCACCGATAAAATTCATTTTTGTTCGCTGTGCTCCACGACTATTCGGGTCGTGTGTATCGTCTCGATTCGAAGGGGGCCGTAAATCGATTCGGTTCGTGGTATCTCTAGGTTACAAATGGTTTACTGCACGATTTTCTGTTCACGGCTTGGTTTCTTACGAGGCTTTCACGGTTGTTTCTTAACGTGGGATACACTTGCTCGATTTATTTTGAAGGTTTTAACTGTCAAATAACAATGGACACGGAAGATCGTTTACGTCTTTATGCTTATGAATCTGATATATTTTTTTTTACGATATGTTATATTATTTTATATTATTTTGTAGCAGGTTTTCGTGTAAATTTTAACACGTAATTGAATAGAAATTCAATCTGCTTATTGTTGTTAAAAGAATTTGCAAATTTAACTACTCTTTTGACTATAGGTAGATAGTCGATTAATTTGTCAATTAAGTTCAGAAAATGAGAAATAAATATTAAAGTTAAGTTTCAAATGTATAAAATGATTATATCATTGTAAAATTGATTTGATGACATAATTTAATAGAGAATAATTTCATATCAATGTGACATAAACGGAACGTAATGTTTTATAAAGTCCGAAATACTGTATTACGTTAACGTTTCGACATCAGGATTACGTAATTGTACGTTTAATGCGATTACATCATTATAAAATAATTCGAAGACATAATTGCATAGCGAGTTTCTGCTAAAGTAATGTTTTATA